GAAGAAACATGCGTAGTTTTTATCCCCTATATTTTTCTGCGTACATTGTGAATGCTTAAATGGAGGACAATCAAAGAAAAGATGGGTACAACCTTTATACCTGAAATGTACTTATCAATATGAAAAAAAAAAAAAAAAAAACTTTATATGGGGAACCTTCAATTTTTGTAGCAAATTTGCAATAAATGCCAAAAGCAAAGTAATAATTACTTTTATATCTGCAGGAAATGGAAGATAGTTGCGTGCGACCTTGAAGTAGTAATGCTGAGGAGGGCAACACAACATATTCAAGAATTTTCATCCTTGGGGCATTGAGGTCTGCACTCAGCAAATGTGTAGGTTCACCAACACCAGAAATAAAATATATTTTTTTTCTTCTTTTTTTTTCTCTACTGTGTAGCAACACTGATGGCTATCAATGCCTTGCAAAGATGTTTAACCCTTCATTATTTAGTTTTATGCATTAACCACAAAAGTTAATGTTTTAATTTATTTTGTCATAAGCCAACACAATACAGTGCATATTGTAAAGCAGAAGGGAGCCAATATATCAATATCAATATCAAAACTTATTTTTTATTTTTTATTTTTTACAAATAAACACCTGAAAAGTATTTTGTTCTCAGCCTCATTTACGCTGATATTTCAGAATTCAATTTCAATATAAGTACAGTCGTGCGAAGGCCTCCGTTGTTTGAAAGAAAACATTGGGGAGCAAACAGCATCTCAAAGATTGAAGAACCTACCATACAGGTCAAGGATAAACCAGCAGCTTTATGGTATGGAACAGATTTGACCCCCATGTCTTGAGTTTGACGCATGCTGTAGGATATTGGCATAATAAAACAGAAAAGAAAGAGAAAAAAAACACTCTAACAAAGCCAATAACAGTAGTGGATATAATTAACCCAATTATGTCTCGTAGTCTAAATTGAAAGGCACTGTGAATTCATACAGTTATTGTGCTGAGTGAACTCCGAATTTCATCACTTTTAATTTGTGTGCAGACAACGTTAGAGGACTCCAGAGTCCTCATTCCAGTCCACCAGGGATCATTCTCTGTTTCTTCCTCTTTTTATTCCCCTCTCATGTCCTTGTTCTTCACTGAAAATGAAGTCATGCCTCCTCTTCCTCCTCCCACTTCTTCAGGCACTTCCTCTTCTCCTGTTCGGTGGACCCCCGCATCCCAGATGGGAGAAGGGAGCACATGCTTGCCGCTCCCATTGCCGTACTGCACAGACCAGCAGACAGAACAAACAAGATTTTCCCTCAGCTCTGGCAGCTTCCTCCCATTAGAGCTCTGTGTGGACCTGTCTGTCTGAGGAAGCTGATCTTATCAGCAGAACCCTCAGGAGGCACACAAACATATTAGGGGTTTAAACGTTTCCCAGCCAAATTTGGAAATTGAATATAGTTGGTGGATTGAAGAGAAGAGGCAGAAAACGGTACAGAGCAAATCTTTAACTGTAATTGGAAGTTTTAAGTCACTGATTCAACCTAAGATAAAAGTCAATACAGCAGATGCCTTATAGGGCACTCTTGAGGACCTTTTAAATTGTTCCATCTGTCCAAATTTAAACAAAATCTAGTTACATTTTTTCTTAAAGAGTGAGATTTTAAAGCAGTGGTGTATTTTTGATCATACATTTTCTTAAAGGGATATTTCTGTTTTTGAAGCAAGATTCTGGTAATAGGTCACAAGTACTTACTAATTCAGATTAGTAAGGATGATGCTAACAACTAGCGAGAGTGGCCAAGACCAAAGTATGCTTTTATCATGTACCACAATCCTTTAAAACATCATCACATTTGCACTGGATAGTTATTTTACAAAGAAGTTGATGATTACTTACAGGAAATGGACAAAGGAGGATGTGCAACACCTATTATATTCCTCAATAAAACATGTCCTAAGAGCGGAAATTGTAAATTACGGGTGGTAAGTGAATTGAACTGTATTGGTTCATGAACATATGAATGTACGGCATGAGTGACAGCAGTAAAACTTTCATGACAAGACAGATTTCTTTTTTTAATTTCAAATGTTTGGAAACATTAGATCTTTTCTTTTCTTTTAGGTTGTTTAAGGTTCTTTTAGTGCTGACATTCCTGCTGTGGAATGATATTATTGTCTCTGTAGTGCCTCCAGTATTTGGGAAGAGAACTGCAGGGAGTGCTCCAAAAATAAACATTGTTTTTCAGACCAGCACAGCTTTTTTTTGTTTGTTTGTTTGTTTTGTTTTTTTCATCCCCATCACATGAATTAACTATTATTCTTGAAGAAACAACATGCTGTGTGGCATGTGCGTTGAATACAGTGTGGACCGATGTATGAGTTTATATTTATTATTTAGATTCGCCACAAGGTGTGCCGCTATTGCTCTTGCATTATTTTGGTCAGTGCTTTAAAAATGTTACCACTGCTTATTTTAACAATGAGACTTTTTTTTTTTTTGACTATGTTGATGTCACCAAGTTTACATTTATAAAAATAAAATCTAGTTGTACCCTATTATTTAATGTTCATAAACCAGAAAATCCATTTTATGCTTACTTTTAATGACTGATTTGCACTACAAATTTCAAGGATGATGCTTACACCAGGAGCTAATTTGCAACACTTATCTCTAGATGGGCTTTAATAAACAGCCCATTTTACTTTAATAGTTCATCATATTGTGTTTTAGTTTAATAAAAATAATTTAATTAAACCGAGTTGTGCTTGAGTCCTAATCAAATAGCATCTAATCCGTCCTTACTGCTCCTGTAACTTTAATTTATTGGATTGTTGGTGGTGCGTTGAGATCCATCTTGTGTTAGCTTTACAAGCAGAAATATCCAACCCTATGAATCATTTCCAGTCTATTATTCATATAACAGAAAAGCAAAGCAATGTAAAAAAAAAAATAAAAATGCGTAAAATCGTGTTCATTTAGATTGCTATTATGCTTTTGCTTTTCATATCAATTTGATTTTACAAGAGACGGTTGCTCTGACCAGAAATGTTTCAAATGTTCCAGTTTTAGCGCATTTCATCCAGGAAGATCATAAGTGGTGCACGGCAACCTCGTTTCATTTCCCATTTAAATAGCCATTAGCAGGTGTGTAGCTAACCTCATGTTTACTTCGGTGATACTCATTTGTTTCAGAAAATGTCTCATTCAAGGTGAGTGATGCATTTGACAATCAACACACAACATAAACTTGACACGACCTCTGAAGCAGTACGAACATATTTCCTCTTTTATTTACATTCCTTTTCAAATAACATTTTTCGCTATAACTTCTGGTCAAGTTGGCTTTTTTTTTTTTCCTCATTAAAATAAATTGGCACAAGTAAAACATATGTAGACAAAAGTTTATTTACACCATACAACATTTTTGTTTTTAAATATTTTATACAGAGCTGCAGATGAGAGAGCTTGCTGGGATCCTTCAAGCAGATTCTGCAGTATTAAAGTTGTGAAATATATTATTTATATAAAAGTGAGTATTATCTTTATTGCATTTAAAGCAATGAAGAATGTAGCTTGACAAACATTCATTTTAATATGACAGGAAAAAATCCTCTTTGCCTCCCATGTTTTTATATTATAAAGTAAAAAGTGTAGTAATGGCCAAACGGACTGTTATAAACTTTTTAAAAACTGCATAAATATATACATTGTGCTCCCAGGTCCAGTTTTAGGAAATCAAAACTAGACCCGATGAAGCTGGGACGACATGGCATGTCATTTGCTTTGTGAGGTTTCATTAAGAGAGTTGTTGTTGTTTTTTTTTTTTTCAGCCAATTCCTCCACAGATAATTGGTAACACAGGATGGTAAATATTGTACACCAGGCTGCCCCACACTAAGTACACTAGTGAGAATACAAAAAGTAACACTGATGTTTTTATCCCTTTTTCTTTTACTTTTTTTTTTTTTCCTCTCTCCCCAGTCCTTATATTGTATTGGCACATTATGTCCCTGCCACGCTCGTAAGATCCAGATATGTTTGCCAAGGCTGTTAGAAAAGTCTGTTGCTTTAATCAGTGCAAAATACATCCCCTTCTCCTCCTTTCCAAGTTTGCATTTTTTTCCCCTCTCCATCTTCTTCACCCTTTACACTTCTGTCTGGAAGTCTCCTTCCTGGACATCTAAGGGTAGGTTGACACACTTCTCCCACTCTGCAGCCGTCATCTCCAGTGAGTCCTTGGGATCGGATTCTAGTACATTCATAGTGGCGTAGTTCTGGTACTCACAGGCTGGATTGTAGCTCTCCCATGGATTCTGTTTTGGCATTGCCTTGTCCTGTGAACACGGCCAATAGCAGGTGTTGTTAGTAGCATGACATCCTCAGCAGCTTAACTGCTACTTGTCTCTCAAAAATTTACTTTTTTTTTTTTTTTTTCCAGTGAGGTCAGTTCATTCAGAAGGGCATTGAATGAGTTCCTAGCATTGCTAATTGAAAGTAATGAATTAATGCTGGGAGAAGCATCGAATAAAAAAAAGATAATGGCAGTGTATTAAATGGGAACATGCGTACTATTAACATGGAGCAGATCTCTGCTTTCCTCGGCTCAGAAACTAGAGCACTGGATGTGTTGCGTGTGTGAGCCATTCATTCGCCTGAATGTGCTCTCACTGACAGTCCCAAAGACATTAGTTCAAATAAGGGAAAGAAGTGGCTCCCCATCAGGGAATATAAAATGGATACTAATGTTTGCTGCCAGCTCTGCAATAGATTCATTTGGGGGGGGGAAAGGAAAATAGGGGAAGTAAGTAGTTATCGTTTTCTACAAAAAAAAAAAAAAAAAAAAAAAAAAAAAAAAAAGGTATTTGCACTGTAACTAGGCAACAGTCCTGAAGCTGCAATGTACTGCAGAGGTGACTAAAACTGGGAGGGTGGTAATATGAAGTCAAAAGGCTACTATTTATAGTGATGTAAAGTAGTTTTAAAAAGACATTTCCCTGTTTTTGCTTTTCTGTCATGCCTCGATGTTTTCATATCATCAGGTTCATTTTGACATCAAAAATATTCCGAGTAAATGCAAAATGCAGTTTTGCAATAATGATTTCATTTCTTTTGTAGGATTTTTAAAATCCAGTCACAATGGATGGTTTTCAAGCATTAACGGCATGCTATTTTTTTTTTCTTTTGTTTTTTGAGTCAGTCAGAGGTGGACTTGTGAGAGAACCTCATGTTACTGTCTCACTTCATTTTGCTCGAGCCTAATGTCACAAACTAATGGTTTGGGATTTTCTGGTAGAGAGCAGAATTTATGGTTCCATCAGTTGTGAGAAGTAGCGTAGGCCCTGAAGTAGCACTGCAGTCAAAGACCATCACACTGCTGATACAATAACAGTCCTTTGCTCTTCTTGGCATCGCTGCTCTAGTTTTACAACAGAGTAAATTAGAGGACCATCTCCCCAAAGCATTCACGTTTATATTTTCTCTCCACAGAATATTGCTTCGACCTTGGAACTATCCTATGCACAGTATCTTTAACAAGTCTCTTTCTTTTTGTTGAATCGTGAATACTAACCTGAGGTGAAACAAGGACGGCCGGAAAGGCTTTAGATTTTGTTTTGTCACCTTTTGTGATCGACTGGAGAAGCTGCTGATGCACTCTCGTGGGAAGGTTCTTCATTGCTACGTGTCTTTCCCATTGATGGATAGCAACTTTCATTGTGGTTCACTGGCATCCCAAGAGCTTATAAATGGCTTCTACATGTCTCAGAGCAATCAAACCTTGTCACAGATAATACAACTGAGCACAAATGTCCCAAGAAAATGTGGTTAACCCCCCGTTGTTTTATTATTTAACAGGAGGAGTGATTTCTTTTTCAAACAGGGTCAGATTAGAGTGGATGACTTTCTTTGCTTTGGTCAATTAAATAATTTAAAAACAGATTTTTGTATTTACTCAGGTTATCTTCGGTATCAACTTTATTTAAAATGTTGAGGTGAGGCAAAGAGCAAAAACAGAAGTAATATATCTTCACAGCGCTGTATCTGATATGGCTTAAGTGTTCGGGAAAAAAAAAAAAAAAAGCTCGGCTCATCTCAAACAGATGGATTAAGTCTGATGTCCCCATTGTCTACACATCCAGTCAGGTGTGTAGACAGATGGTGAGCCTCTTGGTTTGCAGCAAGGTCATGAGGTATTGCATAATTATCCCGACTTCTTAATGGAGTCAAGTCCCACCTCCCACACAGTTGCAGAGAGAGACTCCCCTTATTAGGCTAATACTTATGTAATTGCTGATATCATAAATAATCTGCCATGCATTAATGAATAAAAAAAATGATGGGTTTGCTAAGTAGATAAATGTGCATGTAAAGAAAAGTGCATTTATGGGCCTTGCATTGGAATGGATGCACTCCACTATAGCAAAATTGCCAAAGATTGTGTTTTTTTTTTTTTTAATTTATCTTATTTTTCTTGAGACTCGCCTTGTTCTTCAAGGCTTCTCAGAGGCAGCCCCTCTGCTGATTGCAGGCACATTAGATGTAGAAAGGCACACTTTTGCTACATAACCACTCATTTGCACAATCACACGTAAATGTGTCCTGCACCAAGTATCTAAATAGATCATTTGGATGTTGAGTTCTTTATTTAGCTGACAGCCACCCCCCTGGGTTTCCTGTTACTCACCATGCTGCCCATATTTGGTATGTCTCGAAATCGGTCCAGGGTTTGAAATTTCTGATTCAGTTCCTGGAACAGCTCCATGTGTCTTTTCCTGGTGTGCATGACTTTCTGCAATGGCAAGGGTTTTTGCTTTGGTATTGACAGCCAATAATGGAAATGCATCTTCCTCTCCACCCCCTCCACCTTTGATCAATTTGTTAGTGTCATGGTAGTTTACTTAGAGGCCAGGTCTGAAACAAATTTACTTTCCTCTGCATACACAAGAATGACTGCCAAAATAAAGGAAACACAGAGATAACTTAGATAGGTTTATGGGACACCGAATGCTTAAACATAAATGTTTTGTGCTAAACCACCAGGGCTTTGTTGGTGTAAAGGAAATCTTTTTGATAAACCTTGGCACAAATCTTCCATTTGAAGTGTTTGTGTGCATCTAAGCTAAAAACGCAACCAGAGCCAAAGTAGCTGCCGGAAGCAACATGTTTCCCGTGTTTTGACAGAGATTACAAATTATATATGCAGTAAAGCTTTGACAATGCAAAAGGAAATACTAAAAATCTGCCAAAGGGGGTTTGATTATGTACTTGCAAACCAATATTTTTATTGCTGACCAGTGATAAAATCAGATGTGAAATGTGCAAATGACTTTAAAAGCATACAGTTTGAAAATCAACATATAGCTAATGGATGAAGGAGATGGAGGAGGGTAAAATGTTGATGAGAGCTACTGCCCTGTTTGTCAGTTGACAGCCTTGCTTTTACCTTAACTACACAGTGAGTCTATAAATCCTGATGAGTCAAGGCTATGCTACAGCAATAAGCTTAAGAGGGACAACAGACACTACTAAATCAAATGGCTAACACAGCTGCAAAACAGCCTTTTACACATAAATAGCTAAGCTTGACTTCAGGAAGATTTATCTTTTTTTTTTACGTACCTCAAAGTCTAGATCGGAATATCTCGACTTTCTTCTCTGTTAGGACAAAAATGAAAGGAGTCATCTTAGTAAGTCGTCAGAACACTTCAGCAATAAGATTAATATTTGGCAAGGTGGAATTTGGTGTTGCTTGTGTTTAATCCGCATGACAATATGTACCTCCAGGGAGCTCATTGATATCGTGGAGCCAGTGTCACTCCGAGATAGGCCCCCAGTTTCCTCCATTTCTGCAAGGAAGTTCTTAACAGCTGTGCGAGGTTCAAAGGGCAGGGTTTGCATCTGCTCTGGAGCACTAGGATACTGGTGCTCCAGGTTCACATTCATGTGGTCCATGCCCGACGGGTTGATATTGAAGTCAGGGCTTATCTTGTAATGCTTTAGCCTCTCGTGGGGCAGTGTATCCATGGCAGCGGTCATCTTGGGCTCCTCTTTAATAAGGGTGGGCAGGGTGGCCGACCCCGACACTACACCCGCCGAGGCGCGAGGCATCACTATGTAGTCCGTCTCCATCATTTGGCCGTGCGTCGGGCGGCCCTCCATGTCGTGGCCGCCCATGTCGTGGTCGCTCTGGCGCATGCCGTCGTCGGTGCACAGGTAGACTGTGCGGCGCATGTCGGCATTGCTGTCAGACATGCACTGGTCTTTCAGGTCGCCAATTCCTACTGGCATGTGCAAAGCTGAAGGCTGCTGGATTATCACTTTGGAGATGATGTTGCCTGGCAACGTGGAGTAGTTGAGGCCCTCAGGCGCTTTCTCATCCTCCTCATCGTTGAGGGAAATGCGGGAGAGCGTGCCTGTTATGGTGGCAGCACGACACGAGCCCATGTCCTTGTGGAGCGCTGGAGGGCAGGGCGATACAGATATTAGTTTGTTTGCCTAATCAAAGGAACTTTAATGTCTTAAACTTTGCAAAATGACAACAAAAGAACAATCAAAATTCAAAGCAATATTAGTGATCGTTAAGGGAGGTGGTAGTGTCGAGGGAAAACTGCGATCATAGAACGCGTAAGTATGAAAATGCTCTGTGTGTGATATTACGCTAAATACAAAAAGATACAACAACACTTTGAAATCTCAAGAGAATGTTGCTGTAAATAAGAAAGTAGTTTCATTCTCTCCTTGAAATCCCCTCAGGTTTGCTAATGCTAAGTTGGTGATTGGTGATGACCTGATAAAGCACCACATCCAGTGATTTGCAAAAATATTGATTCTTTTTCATATTGTGTCACATTGCAACCCAGAACTCTAATGTATCATGTGATATCACATGACAAAATAACACAAAATACTGCATACTTGTAAAGTGGAAGAAATATACTTTTTCGCTTGCTGCTCTTTTACAAAGTTCACGTTGTGACCAAAAACTTTGGGACCATAACGCTCTCTCGCAGCTCCTCCCGAGTTGCCATGAGCCTCTTTGCTGCTTCTCAGAAATGCTCTCCCTGCCTTAAACCTTAAGACTTTCACACTTTGACTTTTGGGAGGAGTTGGCTACACTGGATTTTATTCAGGCTTACAAGAGTAAAAGTGGCTCAATATGTACAGATGCCACATTCTCAGACTTATCTGTAAGAAAAGACACTTTTGTTCTTTCTCATCTACTTCACAGTCATGTGCTGCGTTAAATCCAGATTTAAATGCATCGAAGATCGTCATGGTGAAATTAAAAGTTCAAATGGGTGCAGTACCTGTAAAAAGTTTTCACCTCTGTGGATGTTTTAACTTTTTTTTTATTTTTTTATGATGTTTACAAACCAATCACGACAATCAAAATGTGCCTTTTTTGACAAAAAAAAGATAATTACAAAATAATAACAATTACATAAAATATTTTACAGAAAACATGTGACTGCATAACTAGTCATGCCCTTTAAACTGAATGACCTAATTGAACAAAGCCAGACAGTTGGAGCCCTGAGTGCAATGACTGTGTCTTAAGTGATTGTAATATAAAGACACTTGTTTCTGGACGGTCACTCCACTGTGTAATCAGTGTTCCTGGCTGCCATTCCAGCGTGAAGACAAATTAAAACACCAAGCAAATTAGACATGAGGTTATTGAAAAGTCAGGGGACTGGATAAAAAAAAAGGCTAAAACACCCAAGGGTTTGAATATTTTTTCATTCAGCACTCTATGAATAACTTTTGCAGGACGTTTCACCTGTGAAAATACCTGTTTTCTTTCACTGTCATAAACATAAAAACTGCAGACTGACAGAATTATCTGAGCAACGTACCTCTGGACAGTTTTCATTTGGTCTCAAATTTGGTCATGATTTATAAATGACACCTGTCAGCTCAGCCTCCTGCTACCAGGTACAGCACATCCACTTTAGCGCGCAAGACAGCACCATGTAAGTCAAGCATGCCAGACAGCCGCTTTAGCCTCAGTATCTCGCTGAGCTCTGAATAATGGTCAGCATAGTAATTCCTTTAAGCTCCATTTAGGATGTGCTCTTCACTGGTTTAGAAGAGGCTGGAGATAGATGATGCTTCAGTCTAGTGCCTGTTGCTACTCCCATTTAAATTGGGGGAAGCTTATATGCTTTTTCTGTTGATAGTTCTAATTTTTTTTAAACGTTTCTAGTGATCAATCCTATCCCTTTTCCATGACAACATTAATGTGTAAACAAGAGAAACATAACAACGGATAGCAGATATACGAAAACGCTGAGCGTTCCAGTAGTTTTGTTTCTGATGTTTTCTTCTCACAATAAAGTTTGGTGTTTTCAGAACTGTGGAAGGTTCCTGTGGGGCTGTGTTGGTTGTTACATAACCTGGGCTGTTTTCTTACTGTTTACACCTTTTTCAACCAGAGCTAGGGGAATCTTGTTAGTAAGACACCATATGTTCTGTACCTGATCGGCAGGCGATGTCCACATCTTTCTCAAAGTCTGTCTGTAGAAAGAGAACAGTTGGCGGTAAGTTTCACCTCATATATTATACATTTTATTCTGAACAGTGTTTTCCACGTTTATGTGCGCAGTCGGGTAACATGATTTTAAATGCTTTAAGTTAGCTATTTTTGTTTTTAGTGCAGCCGAATCAAGTACAACTGAAAAGAATTTTGAAAAACGTGACCTGAAACTGGAGTTAAGTGGGAAAAAAAAAAAAAAGAATCATGTTAAGAAATGTATTTTCTTTAAACATTCCTGGGGGTTTCATCTGTCCTACAGGACATATCAAACTAAAACATTTTTAATACATATGTTCCTGAAGTTGGTAGGAGTGACATTACTTGTTTTTTCTTCTTCCTTTTAGGTATAAATCTGGCATGACACAGGTGCCCATTTCTCTTATTTATTCTTCAAAATGAGAGAAACAAGAGAACATGCTATTCGAGGTTTAGGATGTCTTCATGAATAAGGAAAAGACTTCGAGAAAATAGTTATTCACCAAACTTGTTGAAATATATAGTCAACATGTTTTTAACACCAGATCTGAGATGATTCCAATGCCCACAAGAAACAACAGAGGGAGCCATTTTAGCCTCTGTTTAAAGGGTTTTAACTATATCAAAAAAGACACAAAAAGGCAGCCCTTCTCTTCTTTTCAACAGTTTGATATAAACTATATAACAAAACAAAACAAAAAAAACATTTATGGAAAAATGTACACACAATATCAGCTGCCTCTCCTGCAATGACTCAACAGATACATAGCTTAACAGTTTGATGCATTCAATAAAAGGAACTCCAAACAGGGTGGACTAATATTTTACTTCTTCACAGCAGCAGATCAACAGCTGGTAGCCTTGCTGTTTTTTTATTTTTTCTCTTTTTCAAGCAAACAACAAACCGTCAAACAAAACCAGAGTGGCATAGTTAAGCAGTACTCAAATCTAAACTGCTCAGCTAAGCACACAGGATTTCACTTTTTATTGTTTCAATAGTCAAAATTAACCCTCTAGTGTGTTCCACCGCCTGCCGTGCGAGGTATGGTCAAAACTCTCAAATTTAATGTGACAAAGATACAAACATTTCATTGTTGCTGCAGCAATAGAATTATGGTCCTAAAATACGTCTTTAACCAGGATCTGCCAATAAACGTGACGGGTGCTACATGCTGTGCAAGAAAATAAAGCAGCAACTCAATCGTAGCGAGCTATAAAAATCAATATAAAACATTTATTATTATTATTTCCAAGTAGCCGAAACAACATTAGTTCTTCCTTTCTGCTTCAAGGAAGGAAAATAAATGCAGCTGAAGCAGTTGCAAAGCTCACTGCTAACAGACTGTATGTCAGCAGCCTTGACACCATTCTGCTAATGTGTGAAAACTGTACCACTCAAATGGCTATGAGAATCTTAATGGCAGATCATTGCTTTGAGCTGCCAATGACGGGACTGTGCAGCATCAAGATACTGTTGTCCTCTTCCAAAGGTCAGGGAGGGTAGCAGTCGCCTGCTTTCCCATGAGAGGAAAACAGAGGGATGCAAGGGAAAGTGACTTTAATTAAGCAGAAAGAAACAATTAGACCTGAGGACTTTGAAAGGGAAACAAAACTAATGCCTTTCATTGTGATCAGAAGTTTTACCTTGCATGTTGTGGCACATTTGTGGTATTTCTTTATTTTTTTTTTTTTTTTTTTAAATCTAAGGAAAATAATGTTACATGTCTAGTTGATAAAAACTAAAAATATGAACAAAAATAAGACAATAGAAATACAAAAAGCAAATAATATGTTTATTCAAGGTTGGTAAAGAACAAAAAGAGTGGTGAAAGTGTTTTATAGGTAACAAAAGAACATTGGGTCAAATATCAGTCTCTCTAATGACTGCAGATAACAGGGTGACTGTGCCTACCATTATCTGAGCATGCCCATTAGGGAAGGTTCCTGTTGCATCACCACTGATTGGATCTTGACAGTTCCTGAGCCGGCATCTGAAAGCGTCTTGCACCTAAACACGAGAGGAATTTCAGTGTGAATAAATTTACTTAACCAAAACATTGACAGGTTTGATTGTTCCAGCAGGACGTTTGCTTTAAATCCCCTGTCAGTAGTAAAGGAATAAACAAGGCGGATTGATTCTACCTCTCTCCGTAGGATGCAGTGCACCATCACAATGACGAACCCCTGCAAGGAGTCAAAGACGGCAAAGAGGATCTGGAAGAGAATGGAACGCTTGTCCGTCATGGCGAGCACGGCGGACATCCAGGTCAGAGCCAGCAGGGGTAGGACGACACAGGAGCTCCACAGCGACGCCCTGGAAGAAGAGAGGAAGGATTTTTTTTGTGCGGGAGATAAACGAGATAAGGTCCGGAGATCTGAGTTAAATCTCCATGACGACCTCTTTCCTCCAGAATGATGGTGGGGCTTTGCTCTGCATACTGATGTTTACGTAAGCTGGTTTCAAAAGCTCCCCCACACTGTAGTTGTGAGGTACTGTGGGTGCATCTGGAAACTGAATTTAGCACACCCTGCAGTGGACACCCTGTACATAAAGAAACTCCCCGCAGCATCGTTTTATTGATTCACAGACACTGACAGGCACTTACATTGCATTGCTTGCTGTTGTTGCTGATAAAGCAGTTGTTGATACAACACCGCATTTGGCACACTTGAGAGTTAATCCTGTATGCGGCTCACTCATCTGTCTGTGGGACACAAGAGACATTGGGACAACATCATGACAAACAACTCTGACATCCACCTGACTTCTCTTTTCCTCCGTCATCCTGTAACAACAGTATGGCCGGTGAGTGCGTGGGTGTTAAAGTCATTTTCATCTTGGACTCATTCTGCCAGAGAAATACAAAGCCGTGTCACTCCCAAGAGGGAACTAGCCTCTTTATGCCTCTAATTTATTTTTTTTTCCAACATAAAATAAAAAAGTAGGTGCAGATCTCCATATGTGCATGAAAATAATCAACGCATGCAATATTTTTACAATAATATTCAAATGATTAGAATTTATTCCAGTAAATCAACTCAGTGATACACATTATATGGATACACAGTCTGATGTATTCAACTCTTTCTTTCTGGTATTTTGCTCTAATTTTGTGCTTACAGCAAATGAAAACATGATATTTAAGATTAGAGTACTATATCAGACCAATAAACACACGTTTACAAATTTTTTTTAATGCCTTGTTAAAGGTTATTTTTCAAAAGTCACTTTTATTCCGGCAAACAAGCTTCACTGGAATAGATATTCTAATCTATTGAATATGACCGTAATTAGAAAAAAAAATGTTAATATTCAAAAATGAAGAAGAAAAACTGGTACTAACAAGGATGTGCTGTCATACCCTGCACGATGCTTCAGCTTCTTGTCCAGGATTCCATCTCTGGACACTAACTTATTGAATACCAAGATACCGATCACCATGTTGACCTGTTAGAACAGAGGGAAGCAGAACATGCAGACTCAGACGACTGATGTCATTATTCTGCAAAGAGCTTTGACCTCTAGCTTCTGTTGTTTGCTCTTCTCTATGACATTTCAGGCAATGGATGAGACATGGCTTGCACACTCATCCCATCCCAGTACCCCGAAGAAAAAAATCTGCCTGTCAGATTGGCCACTTCAGTTTATTTTCGGGGAATTTTATGGGTTCGAGCAATATAAAGACGAAGATAGGGAACAGACACATGAGTGGGTTATATAAAGCAATATCCTGAGCTCTAAATAAATCATGGAGAAATGTGAACTGCTTGATTAAAAAAAAATAGACTATTCCTTGATTACAAACCCAGAAAGAGATAGCTATTCACCTAAAGTGACAGGTTAGGCAGATACATCAATGCAAAGCTGAAGCATGGAGGTGGCAGCATCTTGGTATGGGGTTTATTTAGCTCAACAAGGTGAAGTAGACAGGAGAATGGCTTAGGATAAATGCAACAGATTTAAGATGAATTGGGGGCAAAGATTCACCTTTCAGCAACAGAGCTGCCCCAAATATAGTAAGAGTTGCAACTAACTATTTAGATCAACGCGTATTTGGCAGTGAGAGTAGCCAAGTCAAAGTTCAGACCAAAATCCATTTGAGAGTATTTAACAGTATTTGAGTAGTCATGTTTCCAGACATTCTCCATTTCATTTGACTGCACTTTAGAAGAACAGCAAAAATGTACTAACCTTGACCCAAAATAACTACAGAGGTAATAGAAATACACCCATGTCGTTCTTCAGTTTGCATCTTCAAAAAACAATTGTGTTCTACTTTGTGTTGATGTAGCCCATAAAAAAAAGCATTCAAATGTAAAAGAAGCACTAATAAAAGATATTGAAATGTTCTCCCAACAGCACTATGGTGTTTGGTTGCTGTAAGGAGCAGTGGAGGTAAAGCATCAGTACAACTGCAACTCGATAACTCCGTGGCATGATATTCTCACTGCAGATGGTCAGACGGGAGCTTGTGTTCCTCTGAAGTCCATCACAAAAGAAAACTACAGCCAAGGAAGGCTTAAAAAGTGTTAATTTTGTTTTTCTTCACTCGAATCAAATTCTACCACAGTATGGAAACCCGACAGTGTTTCCATACACTGGTTACGTTACGCATTACGTTTCTGCCGACTGAGTAATTTAGCAGTCTGGATAATGATGAGTCTGTGGGTCATTTTGTAATTACAACTATGTAAATATAGGGCAATTAAATTAGCCTCCTATGTGAGACGCTGGACAAATCTAAATCATAAATACTTAATAACCCCATTGCTGCATGGGAGACTATTATATGGTGAATAAAAAGGAATTATTTGAACACAGGGCCTGATTGAATGCTCATTACTTTGACTTGGAAACCACATCGCAGTTAAACAGCAATCATATTGAATCATGGCTAAAACAAATGAACATTGTCGTTGGTTAAAATGCTGTTTCATTGCTAATAAAATAACTGATGAAGTGACAAATGCATTCACATTTTTATGTAGATTGTATTATATAAACAAGCAAAGTGGGATAAAGCAGACATCGGTAACCAAGACGTACCAAAACAACAGCTGCTGCGGGTCCAACAAAGGCATACAGGAGCCCACCCTCCAAGGAGAGCCAACAGCTGCGGGGGAAACCAGGAAAAAAACAATTAACTCCCACTACAGCATTAACTTCCACGTTAATGGTGCACTCCAGCACACCATTGTTATTTTGCTCAATTGTCAGCGGAGAGGTGCCATATGTTGTTACTCCACACCCAAAGTTTCACAGAGCAATAAAATGCTAAGGAGATTTTAAGCAGTGTTTATGCATTTGGTTTCCAGCAGAGAGGCAGCTCACATGAAATTGGGGTCTTGCTGTGCTATTTTGAAATTTGATTGGGTTCATGGGACTTTGTTTATGGCTCTATTTAGGATAAGTAAGCCACTGCAGAAGGATTTGATCATTATTCTTAAGTGTTGCCATGAACCCAACGTGTCTGTGTGCGGAATATTAAAAGAGAGGAGTGGGGAAAAAAAAGAAGAAAGAAAGCAAAAACTTACTATAAGGGTGTTCCGTAGCCCTTTGTTTTAGTGAATCCCATTGAAATGGCGACAACTAAAGCTGGCAATCCTTTAAAAAAAACAAAACAGAACATTAAATAGTTACTTGAGCAGTTTCACTCACAAGAACATAAATGTACTTCGGTGCACCCAAAAAAGAAGCAAGCCGATGTACCTTCCAGTCGTTAAACAAACTGCAGCTAAAGTGATTTCATTAGAGACCACAGCATGAGGCTATGCAGACATCTGAGAGTATATGATCAGCTATATTCATTTCACCGTTTTACTCATTGTATTGTAAAAATCCCATTAAGAGGTGACGGAAAAAAGACTGCATGGCGCTTTAACAAAATGGCAGTAGTGCATCACACACAGGAAGCCATATAGCTAGATTTCATCTCTGTATTGTGAGAAATTTCACCACTCTTCAACCTCCCACCCCTTTCCCTAGCAATAGGAATAGAGATTTTTTTTTTTTTTTTTTTTTTTTTTTTTTTTTTTTTTTGGGTCCCCCTTTTGGGAAACGGGAAATTTTT